TCCACAGAAGCATCTTCTTGACCTTCCTCCTTGCAGGCAGGGCACGCTCCCCTGCAGGCCTATAACCCTGCAGCCTTCATGCCAGGCACATGGGAGACCAAACCAGAGAGAGATTGAGAGCCAGGAAAGAACACTGGGCCCACAGGATGAACCCTGAGTGTCTGGCAGCGTCCCCTCCGGGGGGATTTTCTGACTCTGATACAATCCAGCCCCACAGTCTCCTGCTAGAGTTGTTGTTTTGTGTAACTGGGAATTAGCCTGCCGTCTAGAATGGCTCCCAGCACACTATTAAATGAGACTCTTTTTTAAAACGGGTCTTCAGCCACCGTGTGCCTGTGTCCAGGTGCTGGCCAGAGCCAGTGCAGGGATGGGAGAGCCAACACCCACCCCTATACTGTGCCCTTCCTGGGAACCAGGGTGAGCCTGTTGTAGCACCAATCATTTGTCAATGTACAGGCAGCATAGCGGAATTAATTAACGTATGTTCATATATTTCAGTGGAACCCTGGTGGTGCTGTCTGATAAGTGTTGGCTTGCGAGGCAAACACAAGGTTGGCAGTTCTAACCCACCAGCTGCTCCATGGGTGGAAGCCGAGACTGGTAGTTCTGTAAAGGGTTGCAGCCTGGGAAACCTTATCCAGGGTCTCTGTGAATCGGAGTGGATCCAGGGCCAGTGGGTTTGGGGCTTGGTAGCACATGTTCAGAGTAATCTTGGTGGTGCCGTCAGGTAAGGGTTGGGCCTCCGACTGGGCCAGGGATGCTTGAGCTGGCCGAGCTTCCTCTGATGCGTCCCGTCTGAGGGGTGGGGCAGGCTAGTACCTGAGCCAGTACATAAGTGGCAGTGTGCTCCCAGCAGGCATCACGGCAGGCCCCTCTGGGGAGGAGGGGTGGGGCTCCTTTCTCCCTGTGGGACCTTTCCCGTCAGTGTCTCCTTGAGAACGTCCACTGAGCAGTGTGACGGCAGGGTCTCCCACGCTGAGCACTGCCCCCCAACCCTGGGCCCCAGCACCTTCCTGACTCTGCGCATCCCAACCTGGCCAACCTCCTGGGCACGGGCATGGTATACTGGTTCCCAGGGGGTGCTTCCTGCCCCTGCCATGCCCCAGAGGCCTCTCTCAACCAGGTCCCAGCCAGGGGAGGACGTCAGCCAGACAGGTGGCCAGGTGGGGCTGTGTGCACAGTGATCCTGTAACCTGCTCCGGAGCCAGACTGACCTAAGTCTCTGTACACCCTGTCCGGTCACCACGTGGCAGGCACTTTGAGTTTGGGCTTCTTCCCCTAAAAGGGGAGCTGGCTTGCTGCTTCCTCAGCGGAAAGGGGACGAGACCCTGGGGGACCTGGCAGGAGAGGCTCACGGATATACCCGTTCCCTCCTTGTTGCCACATTTTAGGGTCCTCATGACAATGTGTGAGGACAGGGTGTGTGTGGGGGGGTATGGTGAGCAGGCAGCCCCAGCCCCCGGCGAAGAGCCCTGGATCCCAAGCACAGGGACAGGGGACAGGACAGACGCATGGCAGTCAGACGTCTGGGGGACCTGGCCCGGCTGCAACAGAAATAGCCCTTTCCCCCTCCGACCCTGCCTGGAGCACAGGGCCCCTCCCCAACCCCTCCTGGATGCTCAGTCTTTGCTGCTCCAGCCGTGGCCCATCAGCACCTCCCTCCCCCTGGGTCAGAGGGCAGTGTCGGGACACCTGGTGGCTCCTTGCAGCCTGTGAGGCCAGGCTGGGTTGGACGCCAGCTCTACAGACGTCTAGAAAGCTCAGGGCAGTGCCCTGGACCGAGCAGTGAGGTTGCCAGAGGCAGGATGGGAGCAGCAGGAATGACTCATGCCAGTCATCCTGGGCATCACTGGCACTGCGAGGACCACCACTTGGAGCGGGGTTGCCTACTGTGCAGTGCACGGCCCTGGCCCCCAACACAGTTCCCCTGGGCAGGCCGCCTGCCAGTGGCTCCTCCCTGCAGAGTCTGCCAACTGCCAACTCCCCAGCCTTGCCAAGCAGGACAGCCTCTTCCATCCTGGCTCTGTTCAGCAGCCCTACCCCTCAACTCCTGTCCCCTGCCCCCTCCCTCCCAGGCACGCCTCTCCTCACCCCTAGAGAGCAGAGGTGCTCCAGACGGGTGCCCACGCTCTGTCCTGAGCTCACAGGACCAGGGGGCCTGTAAGGAGGCCTCGGGCTGGCCTTTCCATCCCACGACCACGGCACCCCGAGGCGAGAGGTAGGAGGGGACTCAGCTCCCAGCTGGGCTCCTCACGCTGCCTGTGGGGTCAGGGCACTCTGGCTTCCATCTCATGGACAGGCAGAGCTGTGCCCAGGGTGGGATGTGGCCCAGCTTAGGCTCTGGTTCAATCAGCGCCCCTCCTTTGCCCTCCTGGGCCTCAGAGCCCCCCTGCCTGCCCAGGCCTAATCCAGCTTAGCCCTCGATGATCCACAGCCCAGATCAGCATGCCAGGGCAGCAGGGCCAGGCCGGGC